TACCTTGGCTCCATGCTTGCCCGGCATCCCCGGCATGCCCCGCTCTCCCTGGAGGAGGGAAGAAGGGTGATGGTAAGAAGGGGACAGATTGAGTGCCTCACGGGCTGGGGGGGCAGGAGCTCTCTCTCTCTCTCCCTTACACACACACACACACACACACACACAGACCCGCCTCCCTGGTTCTGATTCATTACACAGTCGATTTGGCTTATTATACGGTCAGAAAACTTACTGCTGCCAAACTTCTTTGACCCCCACATCCATGCCCCCAAGGTGAGGTCCCCACCCACAGTTTAGAAGCTTTGTTCTATACGACACTTACACCCCAAACCCACCACCCAGTCCATTCCTCCTCATGACCTTCTTATAAAGGGTTTCTGAAACCGTCAACCTTCGGGGAGCCCCAGTCTCATCTTTCTCCCGTGGTGTGGCTGGTGGGTTTGAACCACTGAGCCTTCAGTTAGAGCTTTCCCCCATCCTCTTTGGGTCAGGTCTCTCAATGCTGCAAAAGGCTCCAAGGGCCAGTCTTCCCTCACATGACCCCACCAGTGGCTCCTGTGCCCCAAGCTGGGTGACAGCGTGGGACTAGGGGGTCACCCCATAGGAGACAAGCTGGGGCTCCACGCCTGAGCCAGTCTTGGGGTTGGGAGGAATTCCCTGGGGCGAGCAGAGACAGGCCGGGCCAGTCAGTGGACATGTCACAGCTCTGGCTCTGGGTTCAGCCAGCCACATCCGCCTGCCTTTCATCTCAAAGGAAGCCCCTCCTGTTTCACGGTAAGCTGTGGGTCAGGGAGACAGGTAGGACTGCCGAGGTCCTGGAGCTTGGAAGAAGCAGGCCAGGGATTTGAACACGGGCCCATTGACTCACTCCAAGTAGCAGATGGACTGACGCTCCCTCCATCGGCTCAGTGGGGTGAGAGCATTTCTGCTCAGGGCTGGGTCCTTAATCAGGGCATGACGTTGCCTGCAAGTGCAGGCCTGCTCTGTGACCAGCAGAGAGCGCCAGAGGACCTCATCTGAAGTCCAGCTACCGCAGCTAAAGTACAGCCTGGACCTGTCCAAGGGAATGAGCCCAGCGCTCTGCACGGGGGCAGTGGTGGTGCCGGGTGCTGTGTAATACTCCAGCCCCACCTAACTGGACTGTCTCCCAGGCAGGGCTGGAGGGCAGGAGGGTTCCAGGTGGGCATCAGCTCGGGAGCTCCCGACTTTCAGAGGACTCCTGTCTGTCCTTCTCTTCCTCAGTGTCTGTGGCTGCCTTTCCCACCTCTACTCTGGGGAGCCGGAACAAGTTAGGCATGCTTTCTGCGTGGCCCATGGCTAGGCCATGCTCCCATCGTGGGCCCAGGTTCCACGTCTCAAAATGAGGCCGCTAGACTAGATCCATGGGGCTCACTTGCAGGGCACAGCCGTGGGAGGGGCAGGGGCCCAAGGCGGCAGGGGTGCAATTCAGAGCTGTTGCAAGCTCCAGAAGTGGGCTTGATGGGGGCAAGGGTTTCAGTCAGTTCTGGGTCAAAATTCAACTGTGGGTGGGGTGGGGGTGGGGAACTACCCTCTCCCTACCCACTGAGGGGCAGCAGCAGGCACTTCAGCAGGGGAGCCCACTCTCACAGCATCGAGTTGCCACTGACTCACAGTGGCCCAATGGGGCAGGGTAGAACTGACCCTGTGAGATGCGGAGGCTGGAACTGTTCACGAGGGTAGGAAGCCCCATCGTTCTCCCGAGGAGTGGCTGATGGCTTTGAACTGCTTACCTTGCAAATCGCGGTTTGTGGTAGTTACGTAATCTCATGTCAACTTGAAGCTGTCTAAAAGTGTAGAGGGGGAGTCTGGCCTGTCAAGGTCACAGCCTGATGGTGCCCCCCCCCAGTGGCTTTCTAGTACGGGACGTACGGACTTGCGCTAGACTGGTTGGCATGTTTTCTTGATCTGTAACTACTTGTTGCTATAAAACTCTTGCTTACACATATATGGTGTCCCTGAATTTGTTTCTCTAGCTGCTCTGCCCACCAGGCCCCTTCGGCTGGCTTCTGCAGGAGCTGCTCTGAACAGAAGCCCAGGGCTCGCGCCTGGGTAATTGGGGTTGACTTTATCCCACGTCGGCTTGGGTAGGAAAGAGAAGGATGCATTTGGGAAATCCGGCTCCTTGGAGCCTCCTGGCAGGGAGGCCTTCTCATTAGGATGCTGACCTTCGCCCCTTCCCTTCCCTCTGGGCTAGACCTCTTAATTCCTCCAATGACCCAGGAGCCCCCCTTCCGGCCTCCCTTGACCCTATCCTGTCTGTTCTCTCCACCTCATTGATCTCTTTCTCCCAGGGCTTGTCTACCCGGGTCTGCCCCAGCCCGACCTCTGAACTGGGGAACTGGGCTCGTCACCTGCCAGAAGACATCAGTCCTGGGCAAATGAGGCGAGAGGGGCAGAGGCATTGCCTAGGACTCCCGGTCACTGCCAGCCGGCAGACAGGCGCTAGTGGGCTGCCTGGGCCTATTGCCAAGGGGACAGGTAACGTGCTTCTGCTTTGATTCCTCCTGCTGAGAAGTTTTTCTGAGACTCCTTTCCTGTTCCATTCTTCGTGGCTGAAAGCTCCAAACTGTTCATCAATGAGAGTTGGATTGCTAACTGCAAGGTCAGCGGTTTGAGACCACCACCTGTACTGCGGGAGAAAGGCGTCCTACTTCTGGGAAGAGTTAGTCTCGGCAACTCACAGGGGCAGTCTTACCCTGTCCTTTAGGGTCACGATGAGTGGGCATCGATCCGATGGCAGTGAGTTTGGTTTGGGATCTCATTCCTGTTTCTGCACCTGCACCTCCGCCTGTACCTGCAGGGCCCAGGTTACCCCTGTCCCTGCTTTTCCTGCTTCTTCCATCAGGGGCCCTTCTCAGCCACGTGAGCTGACCATACTGTAGGTGGGACACCAGGTGCCCCTGTGATGAAGGGTCCCGCCTCAGTTGCTCAGTGGGTGAATGTCAGAGGCTGCCAGACCCAGGCCAGTGCCCAGTCTGCCCACTCACCTCTGGAGGGCTGGCCTTTTAACTCAGTGCCAAGACCCAGCCCCCATTTCCGGCCCAGGAGAAGTGGATCCCAGTTAATGTGGCCTGGGGCAGAAGGCTAGGGACAGGGCTGCCCTGAGGATGTCTGGCTGGGCCTTGCACAGAGCTCCGTGCAGTGTCAGTGGGCCCCAGGTCTAGGCAGGAAGCCCCATGCTCTGTGGGGGTGACAGGATAGATGTGGGCTCCCTGAAGCACAGGCCCCCCCTCCCTTCCCGCAAGGCCATTCTACAGGACTGGCCTGTCAGGTAGTCCTCTACTGTTACCATACAAGCCAGGCAGGGAGCTGGCAGCAAGGTGAAGTCTGGAGGGGGTTGGGAGGGGCCTTCCATGCCAGCTCCCCATCCAAGCACTGGTCAGGCCAGGGGACTGGGTGGACATGAACAGCTCACTCAGAGGCGGCCTTGCTGCAGTCAAGTCTGGGCGGGGAGGAGCCCTGGGCCGCCTAGGACTCTGCACGTACATTCTTCGTTCTCTGCAGGGGAGGAGGCCAGCGGGCAGCCCAGGCCTCACGTCTGGACCAGGGCCCCTGCCTGGGCTGGCAGAGCCGGAGGAGGAGGGATAGTGGGATAATGTCCCTCTCCCCACCGCCACCGCCCCTCAAGGATGCTTCCTTCCGGGAAGCAAGCAGCCCGGTTCCTGCCTTCACTCCAGCCAGCTTGCACCCCGGAGGGCCGGAATCCCTCACGGCATACCAGGCTGGAGGGTGGGAGTGACCCTGCTGTGAGGGCGCCCCTGGGAGCCCAGGGCTTTGGACAGGCAGCCGGCTTAGATCTCAAA